CAATAAACAAAGGTTAATTTCACAAAAAGCTCCAAAAATAGAAACCCACTATCATCATCAACGTCAATTGGAAAGAATGTTGATCTACAATGACTATCTCATGTTAGTAGTGAAACATGATATCTGGAAGGACCAAGAAAAAAGAAAAATCTATTTTGATATGGCCACATAAATCTTATCAGGGTGTGGAATAAGAATGAAAATAAAGGAGCAGTTAACTGGGCTCTCTCCATCGGCCAGACGATTCATAGCACACATGAATCTCAATAAATACATTAGTTATAACATATAGATCATTATCGAGTTGTCAAATATGGTGGAGTTTCTTGAGGAACGATTTGAGAGGAGGAAGGAGATGCTACAATTCATAGGAGAATGTTGAAAGTGCATTGTAGGTTTAGAACGTTTTTGTGTTGTAATTTTGAAAATTTACAATTTAAAGCTTAGTCATTCACTTCTTGTATTTTATTTCGATCAACTAATAGATAAATGAAGTGTTTTGTGTATTCTTTTGCGTTTGATACTCTTGTTTAAAAACACAAAGGTGAGTTTTTATCTCAAATTTGAACTTTAAAGAACTAGCCATTTGAAAACCCTAGTCGAAGCCTTGAACCCCTTTTTGAATTCTTTTGAAAATCATAGGTGAGGAACTGCGTGAATAGGTGAATTTTTACCTCATATTAGAATAACCCTTCTTAAGATCATAGTATGGTGGATAAACAATGGGGAATGGGAGAGGTTTATTCACTTCTGAAAATATGAAAAAAAGAGGCAAACGAGGTCGACAAAGGAAAAGATAAAGGGTCAATGTGAGAGGTAAAAGTTTGGTGCTCATGTGCCAAGCTATGTAAGCATTTAGCCCTATTCAGATGGTGACGTGTAAAGCCATGTAAGCTAGGGAGTCCACCTGGCATAAACTAACGACTTCATTTCGATGACAATGGCCAAAAGGACCAGATATGCAAGAAAAACAAACCACAATGACCAAGCGCCTAAGAGTTTCAATAGTTGTCCTGAAGTAGCCTGTTTTGGCAAACCATAAGGACCATTCCTATAATTTTGTCTAATTATTATATTTTGGAATCCCAATGATTAATTTTTAAGCAAACTCAAACACCCAGTATTACTTACTAGTTGTATGGTGTTTAATTGTTCATGTTATATAATATTAATTGAAAAATACTTATGCATTTAACATCCATTTTGACTCCTTATGTCATCTAACTACTTAATGTAATTAGAATTTATACAAATGCAATATTATGATTTAATACAAGTTAGATGGTTTATAATACACACTTAAACAAAAATATAGTTTGATCATGAACACAATGAATGATTGACGATGGACAAAAAGGTAGCATCCCTTTGTCGGGCCAAGGGGAAAACTTCAAGCAAATGGTTGGAGCATTTTTAATATAAGAATTGAAATTGACTAAGGCAAATTCTAGGCATCTAAGCACCTTCTAACTTCTTATGCGTAATCAGCACATGATCCGTTTTTATCTTCCGGTGCCTTCTGAACGTCTACAGACAAATGATTTTTTTAGGTTTAATTTGGAAACTTCTAAAACTTCAGAAAGGCATGAGGCAATGCATCTTCTAAAAACTTCATAAGGTGATATAGATTATGAATTGGTCAAATATAATAAATTTGATCTCACTGTCTGATAACTATTTCTAACTTTCAGAAGGTATTTATTGATTTTATGGGTGTATATACTATATATACATCATGATTTTGGCTCTCCTACGGATTTAAACGTTCCATTCATAATGCTAGTTCATTGCTACTATTTTGTGTCTACAATTGTAAGTGTCTTCTAGTGGATTATTATCATGTTTTGAATATTAGGAAAGCTAGGAATAGAGCCAAAATATCAACAAAAGAAAATAAACTTTACACACATTTATAAAATATCAAATAACTTTGATTATCTTGTAGAGCATTTTTTCATCCCCCTCTTCTCTAACATGTTATATTTCCTTAACTACCACAATATTCTTTTTAAACTACTTAAGCCAATGTGGGACTAGCTTACTTGATAGAGGCTTTGGGGCTTAGATTGATGGTCCCGAGTCTAATTTGGGCGTTGACGAATTCTACTAACTTTAAGATGCTAACTTCTAACCACTACATAGTCATTCAAAAAAAACTATTGAGAACATTACTAAACTAACCATTTTCCTTAAAAAGATCTACTCAAAATGAAACCGTAGATCTTAAAACGGTCTACGGTTTACTCTCGGTGATCTACTGTGTCCCAAACCGTAGACCTTAAAATGGTCTACTGTTTCGTTAAAAAAAACTATGCTTTTGGGTTTTTTTTGGGGGATCTGAATACTATTTGATAGAAGTTGACTATTACTTCATGCATTTTAACTACTATATCATACCTAGTATATATTAATAATCATATATTGAAACGTCCCAAAAATAAGACCCAAAAATTTCATTTTTAATTTAACAAAACGGTAATCCAAAACATTGACATACAACCAAAATAGACCAAAGTATATTACTACATCATAAAATATCAGAGTAAGTCACAAAATGCGGAATAAAGTGGTGTGTGCTCTGCAATCATCGCGAGCTCTTCCCTTTCAAACCATATGTACCTGAAACAGAAACTGAAAACCATAAGCACAAAACTTAGTGAGTTCCCCAAAATATCACATATTGTACATATCAAACACATAATGGGCCCTGCTCGTCATCGGGCCCCCCCCGGTATACAGATATGTCAATCAACGGGCACCGTCCAATGAGTATAATGGGCCTCGCCCTAACTCGCATAAATGCGCCCCGCCCACTGATTATAACGAGCCTCGCCCTAACTCGCGCAACGGGCCCCGTCCAACATACAAACATGCAAGTATAACAAGTAATAGCATACAAAATAACCTTTGGGCCCCGCCCACTAAGCATACGAACACATACAAATGCAAGAGTCAAGCAGATATCTAGCACCCTAACATAATAAACCATGGGTCAGCATTGGTGCCTTTAACCCGCTAAGCATGGTGAGGAAGACTCACCTCAGACTGCTGAATCTCACAGATAAATCTCTGGTTGCTGGTCCAAAAATCCCCGCACTATCATCATAAAATAACATCCAATTAATAATTGGATCTCGACTTATACTAATAGTCTAAACTAGTGTAAAAGACCATTTTACCCTTTACCTAATTTGGCCCAAGGCCAAAGCCCAAACTAACTACTCAAAAAGGCCCAATTCCAAAAATGGTCACCCAAAGCCCAAATATGACCCAATCTTCCAAATTGGGCCCAAACTCCTTCGTGGGCCTCTAACCAAAAGAACCCAACATAATGATATCAGCCCAACATAGAAATCTGATGGCCCAACAAGGCCCTAATATTCTAATGTCCAAATATGGGCCCAAAACCAAGAAGCCCAAAATCTGAAGCCCACCTGCTGAGTACGCGAGGCGTACTCAGCTCGTACGCTTAGCATACTCCCTCTGGGCTAGTACGCTCAGCGTACCAGCTTGGTACGCCCAACGTACTCCCCAGTTGACCACCCAACTTCATTAAGCACTTAATCCATTGAGACTTTAAGCCAAACTCTCAGATCTGATTATATAAGGCCACTAATCACATAAAGTTGGCAACTTTACACACATGCATGGCTTAATGGGCTCAAGAGCTCAAAAAGAGCTTAACAAAGGTCTTAACACATGCATGGTCCAAGATACACCATAAAGCTTGCATTTTTATGAATAAGGGGAACAAAAGAAGCCTAGATCTAACACCTCTGGAGTGAGTCAAGAAGCTCATCCATCACTCCAATGACTCAAAAAGCATAAAATATCAACACAACTAGATCTAGCATCATGGATCATCAAGATGTGAGCTTTTTACCCTAAAAAGCTTGCAATTGATGAGCTAACCCCGAAACTTCAAGCTTAAGAGACTTCTCCAAATGGTCCTCTCTTCTTCTCCTTCACAAATCACCAACAAACACTCTTTAAGGCTCAAAACTCACAAACACACACGGGGGTTTCGATTTCTGGACAAAGGAGGGTGGAGGTTGGCTAAACATGACCAAATGAGGCTATCATAAGGTTTAAATAGGGAGCAAACCCTAAAATTTAGGGTTTCACTCATGCCCACGTACGTCATGTGTACTCCACGTATACCCCGCGTACGTGGTTAAGACCCGCGATCCTGAATTACACTAGTACGCCCAGCGTACTCCAACTTTCCTGAAGTTGGCAATTCTGCCCCCCTAAGGACCAATTCTGCAAAACATTAACACACCAAGGTTTAAACTGAAAAGCACTTTGAATCGGGTGTTAAAAAAAAAACAAAAACTGTAGCTTTTTTGACAAAACAATAGACCATTTTAAGGTCTACGGTTTGCGAAACAGTAGACCATTGAGAGGAAACCGTAGACCATTTTAAGATTTACGGTTCCATTTTGAGTTATAAAAAAATCCTTAAATATTGAAGCCAAAACCGTATACCATTTAGGCGAAACAGTAGACTACTTTACACACATACGTTTGGGTGGTTATTTTGAGACAAATGTTAATTTTTTGCTAAAAATGGATAAGTCATTAAGGAAAATTGATAGTTTAGTAATTTTCTCAAAACTATTTACCGTAATTACTCTTTATTATTATGCTGTTAATTTCATTGAACATTTGAATTTTATGGGCTGATCCATTGGCTTAACAATAAGTACTAAGTGCATCTTCACGCCATTATTATCATATGAAATATTATCCTCATAATTTTGAAGCTATTGTATATACGGTTCGATTGTGGGTGACCTAATACATGCTTGTTCAATAACTTTAGTAATAGTTTTATTTTATTTTTTGAGTTTAGTAAGAATTTGGTTTTAGATAATGAAGTATGGACTTCTAATAAAACCTTAGCTATTAGAATCCTAGACGTACAATTACATATTTCTTGTCAAAATTGCTCTTCCTTCACACACAAAAACACACTTTTTCTCACTTTTCCCATACTATATAAAGAACAGCCAAATCTCTAACTCACAATCCACACAATCCGTTTGCTTCTATTTAAGACCCATTTCTCTCTTCAATCACACAGTAGAACACAGCAATGTCAGGCGGAGCAAAGGTGTTGTTGGTGGCGGTGGTCATTGCCATGGTGGCGAGCGTATTCCTTAAAACGGAGAGTGCAGTGACTTGTCAGTTGGTAGTGAGTAGCCTAACTCCATGCACCAGCTTCCTGATTAAAGGAGGTCATGTGCCTAAAGCATGCTGTAACGGGGTAAAGTCACTGTATAAGGACGCAGACACAGTTACTGATCGCCAGACAGCCTGTCGATGCATGGAACAAGCAGCATTAATGCTCCCTGGGATTAACATCGATCATGCTACTGACTTACCTGGGAAATGCGACGTTTATATCCCTTACGAAATCAGCCCTCTGTTCAACTGCTCCACGTACTGCATCTCTTACCCACACTAACACTAATATATTGCATGAGTCGTATTATACTTTAGATTGTTGTGCATAGTGATGAATATATTTTGAACTTGTGTTGCAGTGTACAATAGAAGTATGACTATAGGCGAAGGAGGACGTATAACACTATAGCGTGATGAATAATAACTAAAGGCGAAGTTCCATTAGTCTAAGCTAGCTAGAATCCACTAGCTATGTTGTTACGACTTACTAGTAGTGTTTTCTTCTTTAAAAACTTGCTTTCTCTATGAAAAAATATATATAAATATATATTCCATTGTGTTATATCAATTTCCGTTATTGTGTGTTCTCAATTTGCAGAAATCCGTCTTTATTTCTTATCATATCCAAAGTAGATGGAATCGATAGCCTAATCTTCCCTTTAAACATAAACATAAGTATATTAAATCGTTATATTGCTACCCAAAAATATTGTGGATATCAAATTAATGTTATGTTTGCTAGTTATGGTTAGTGATTATTTTGAAATCAATGTTGTTGTTAGTTACAATTAACATGGTTAGTTCAATAGTTATTGAAAAAATATGTTTTAGAAAATATCGATAACGATATAATGAATATATTTCATGATACAAGACATCGCAGGTATAATTGTAAGAAATTTAATATAATTATTGTATTTATGTTTATTTTATTTTATTTATACAACCCAACCCGCTACTAGTATTTATTACTCTTTTATTTTTTTTTGGCTTCACTTAAATTGGGAACAACGTGGTTTTCAGTTCTAGGTTCGCCGATGTGTTGTGGAAGGAAGAGCCTTGGTCAAAGAGGAACAGGATTTTGCAAGTAATAAGAATAAAAAAGAGACGTGGATGGCTTACATGATTAAGTAAATTTATTAATAAATATTAACTTTATAAATTTGTTGAAAAATATATATATTTTTTTAATAATACAATTGATTGTGGAGTGACTTCCAGGTTTTTTTTGTTAGAAAAATGATTGAGCTGCATGACAAGTATTTATGTAAATAACTATTTTATAACTATACCCTATTACATAAGATTTGTATATTTGCTTTATTAAACCTAGCTTTTTTTATTATTATTATTTTCTTTTACTCTTTACTTGTTTAGCATGTATTTGGTTTCACATTTAAACATATTTGACATTTATTTAAATATTTGATTCAAAAGTTGTAAAAAATATCGATAAAAAACAATAAATTTTTTATTATTATTTTCATGCTGTAATCTAATTATTTATTTTATTTTATTATATATAAAAAATTTGTAGATATAAGTAGCCTAAATTATAGAATCCCATGAGTATTTACCGACACAATGTGCAACAAATATTTTTTTGTATTAAGGTAAATAAAAGAGTGTTACTAAAATCTTTATGTGTGTAACTAAAAGTAGCATTAATGACATTTAATGTCACTAAAATTTTAAAAAAGTATCACTAAAATCTTAAAATCTTTAAATATGTAATTAAAAAAAAATTTGTTCTTTATTGGCACTTTTTTGTGCCCTTAAATGACATATTTTTTTAATGATCATGTTATAGTTTATAGCCATTTAAATATTTCTTTAAGTTGTTTTATTATTGTTTTTTCGTGTAGATACTAGGTTAATCTTTCTTTTCCCTTTGACTAGAGCGTTGATGGTGCACATCTTGGTTCTCAAGTATCTTCTCCAACGAAGCTTTGTGGTGTTAAAAATGTTTGAAAATTGTAGGCTTTGTCTCTAAAAGCATTGGAACACTTCTTGATGTTGATCAAAGAAGTGCTCAAGGAAGAGAATCACCCATATAGGTTTGTAATCTTAGCTTACTTTATTAAATTGAGTTCTAGTATTAGATTGTTTGCTTAAATATGATTGTATGATTAATTGATTCTAGGGATTTAATGTTCCGGCAACATCTCATAATACTTTATAGGTATCAAGTTTATTGAAGTGAATAATGTTCCTGCAACATCTCACAAGTTTGCTCATAAGGTGGAAACTTTGTTGTAGAAAAAGAGTCAACACTAACATCTCACAAGTTTGCTCATGAGGTGGAAACTTTGTTGTAGAAAAAGAGTCGACATTGGTTGAGATGGATGCATTTTTCAAGTGGTGAAGTTGTAAGTATTAAAGTTGGCATAGAGACTATCAAAGAAGAACTTAATCATGTGTTCCTTTTAATGTTGTGTTTTGTTTTTTTATAATAAATTTTCGTGAAATATTAGAATTTTATTATATTTATTTACCATTGAAATGATGCATTTGTATTTGACATATTATATTTTGTGCATTGAATTATCTTTCTTGTGTATAATATTTTATTTGGTATTAGGAGACTTTAAATGTGTTATTTAATTTAAAAATTAGTAAATCTATTAAAAATATTTTTTGAAACCTTGAAGTTATGACACGCAAAAATGTGTTTCATTTTCCCATATGACAAGGTCTTTAATGGCACGCAATACGTATCGTAAACGTGTGTCATAAATGCATGTCGTAAGCTTATGACACACAAATGCGTGTCATCTGTACCCCTTTATGACACGTAATACGTGTCATTAAAGGGTTGTTTTCTAGTAGTGTAGGCATATAGACATATACTAACCCCCTTTACAGTAAACGACATATTCTTCAGTTGATAGACAGGGGAGCCAGTCCAATACCTAAACTCCAACTCTTTGTCAAAGATGCTTTGTGAGCCCAAAATGGGTTATATATCATTCGATGGTGTCAATGTATCGTCACTACATGTGTAATGTGATTTCTATTAATCCTTCATGGTTGAGAGAGGTTATACCTCACTTTTGTCACCAACAACCCCCCAATCCTCCTACTCATCATTAATTCTTTAAAGGGTAGTGTTAAATATAGGTACAAGTTTGTAATCCATGAGTACAACTTACAACTTAGGAACCGAATATGATACTAACATGTGTTTACATATAATATATGTTTTGCTTCATTGTATTAAAAAAATCAATATTCACTCATTAATGTATGTGGTTGTGTAGTAATTCATGTACAAGTGAACGATCCCATCGTGATTGAAAAGGCTTCTCCTTTTTTTAGTCACAATGCAGTTTACTTGAAGGATTCATGCATTAGTGATGAGTAGATATATGTTCTTTATTATCATGTAACTCATTCCTTGGTAATTTCTGTTGATATAGATGGGGAATCGTTTTTTTAAAACAACCTGATGTTATCGTCTTAAAGTTTTTATTTCTATGATATATGCCAAGTTCATTGAGTATGTATTGGTTTTTCATATTTGTGTTATCTCCTATATCCATTCTAGAAACAATTTACAATACCCTTTTGGTAACATAACCCTTAGACAATCATTTAATTACAATAAATTTTTAGTAATAGGTAATATACTCACCCATTTTGCAATAAATTTTCTTCTCAATTCAAATTATATGTCTTTCATTTACCATTAGGCAACGAATCCCTTTTATTTCTATGTTTTTTTGTTCTACTTCTCTTTATTTGTTATCTTACTAGTTGTGAGACCCGTATATTATACGGGTTGATTAAAACAAAATGTTAAATAAGAACGATTACATGAGAATTTTATTTATATTTGAAATCTAAAATAAGTGAAAATTACGAGAAAAAAACATGCAAAAAATAAATAAATTAAAATTATGTGTTTAGTTGTCAGGCTCATATACTAAACGAGTTAATTATAACATTATGTTAAATATAAAGGTTTAAAATGTAAATTTATTTGAATTTGAAATTAAAATTTCTAATTTCAATTTTCAATTTTGAAATTAATAGTCATTATGGTAGGTTTAATTTATAGAAACTAAATTAATGATATATTGGAAATGAAAATTGAAATAAATGACAAGTGAAAAATAAATATATCTTAAAATTATAATAAAATGATATGTGGTCAATTGAATAAGAGAAGGACATGTAGCAAAATCATTTTTATTTATTAGGGGAGATATCTTACGGATCTCATATATTCATGTTTCTTAATCTTTCCATCTATATCAAAACTTTATTTTTACATATGGCCAACTGAGTGAAAATGTATTTTTCTTTTTAAGAATCACTAAGTTTTTTACTTAAAAGACCAACAGTGAATGATCGTAACAAAAGTAAGTGTATAAAAATGTACTAGGTCAAATCAACCAAAATACACTCTGCTAAAGTCCATCACTAAAACATAAATTAATAAAAAAAAATTGTGTAAATGGTCAAATTGAACAAAAAGGTCAAAATTTTTGTTTTCTAATAAACCATAATTTTTGTTTTGGGTACCAGGTGACGACTTCTGATATAGATCTTCACGAATGCAATAAGAAAATTTCATGTACAAAGGATCGATCGGTGTAGCTTTGTGTTGCTGCAGTGCGTCGTCCCATACTACTCGTTCAACAACTAATCATAACATATCAAGAGATGCTCCAAATCATAGAAGACCAGTGATAAACAGATAACTATCTATATTATTGATGGATTTTGTGTATATACTAATGTTATCAATGCCTATTATTTAATGCTAATCATGTCATCATGTAACCGCTTCATTAAGAAAATTTGATTTTTATTACATTGACCCCCTAAAGTTTAAACTTTGTAAAATGTCTCTGATTTAGCAAACACATACAAACCCGATGCAACATTCGAGTTTTGTACTAGTTGATATTATTCTTATTATTACTAACTTTATGAATAATCTTATTATTACTAACTTTAATATTTTTATTATTACTACTACTACTACAATTATTATTACTAATATTATAACTATTATTATTATTAATAATATTATTATTATTATATTAAACATTAACATTATTAATATTTATTTATTATCTTTATTAAATAATATTATTATTATTAGTATTAGTATTTTAGACCCTTTTTCGAACAAATTTTTTCGTACCGTATTTATATTATTTATGTTATTCTTATTATTTTAATTATTATTATGATAATTTTAAAATGTTTATTATTCACACCACCACCATCACCGCCACCGCCACCACCGTCATGGCCACCGCCGCCATCGCCGCCACCACCACCACCACCAGCACCACCATTATTATTATTATTATCATTCATTTTTTCGAGATGAAAAGGTTATTGTTTTCATACTATTTTTATACAACTTTATTATAAACGAAATATCTTTAAAACACCCACTTATATGTTTATACATATATGTATGTGTGTACGCAATACCATCGTAAACTATTACTCAAAACATGTTTTTTCATTCTATAAATAGAATGTTCATAATAATATTATTTTAATCCTAAAGATAATAATAATAATAACATAAAAGATAATAATCATAATATA